CCAGCGTCGTCGGAGCAGGGGGTGCATCTGGGCAGGGGCCTGCCAGAAGCCTTCGCCCAGTTTTCCTCCTGATGCACTCAGGTCACTGCGACACCTGAGAGGAGCAAAGACACTAACTTTGGGAGCTGCGCCAGCCAGCGGCCCGCGCTTCCCAGCGTAGGATGGAGGCGGCGCCCCTGTGCATTTCCCCCGGCACGTCGGACTAGCGGGCTGGAGGTGGAGAAGTACTTGCCCCATCCCTGACTCTCTTGTGGGCCCCCTCCACCCCACCCCCCAGCTCGTCACCATCATCTCTGGGGTGAACAGAGCCACCTTGGCGGCTGGCGTCACACATGTGTCTGGCTGTCTCGTGGAGCCTGCAATCTTCATAGTAGGTGGAAAAGGGGGTCCCAGAGCCCTCCCGGGAGCTCTGGTCTCAGTAGGTGGGAAAGGGGGTCCCGGAGCCCTCCCAGGAGCTCTGGTCCCTCTGGCCTGGTATCTGTTCTCTGTGCGGGCAGGCGAGTGTGAGACTGAAGAGAGGACTTCTCAGTCACTTCCCGGTCTTTTTGTTCACCGCATCAGGGTACCTGATCAGCCGGGGCTTCCCCGAGGACTCCACTTAAGACTGGTGTCCTGGCTTAGGTGGTCGGGGAGCCAGGGAGGGCTGGGGCCTGGAGAAGCTGGCGCTTCTCCGAGCGTGATGACAGAGTCCTTGGGTGCTCGGCTGTGCTGGGGCAGTGCCTGCAGACATCTGCAAGGGCATCCGGGAAGGTGCTGGACCAGGCAGTGCAGACCCAGCCCGTGACCTGCCCCAGAGCCCCACAGCACCCCACAGCGCCCCACAGCGCCGTGGGCCCATAGGCGTCATGGCTTCCCACATGTCAGACTCAACTCAAGGCTGCTGTTGGTACATGATGTGGGGTGGCAGCTTTTCTCCATTCCGGCCATGAGTCGGGGAGATTCCATAGACGGCTGCTTATGGGTGAGCGGATCAAAACTGAACAGCTGCTTCTGCAGCTCTCAAAGCAGGGATTGGGAAGGGCCCCGAGAAGTTGCCTGCATCCGGGATCGAGTTCATGGAGCT